AAGGGGGGAGGAAAAAAAAGGGGGGAGGAAAAAAAAGGGGGGAGGAAAAAAAAGGGGGGAGGAAAAAAAAGGGGGGAGGAAAAAAAAGGGGGGAGGAAAAAAAAGGGGGGAGGAAAAAAAAGGGGGGAGGAAAAAAAAGGGGGGAGGAAAAAAAAGGGGGGAGGAAAAAAAAGGGGGGAGGAAAAAAAAGGGGGGAGGAAAAAAAAGGGGGGAGGAAAAAAAAGGGGGGAGGAAAAAAGAGAAAAAAGGGAGGAAAAAAGAAGAAAAAAGGTGGGGGAAAAGGGGGAGGGAAAAAAATCAGGAAAGGAGGGAAAAGAAGGGGAAAAGAGGAAAAAAGAAGTGGAAAAAAAAAGGGAGGGGGGGAAATTTGGATGCTGAGAAAGCCCCCCAAGATCATAAAAATCTTCTGGAAATCAGGGAATTTTCAAGGTCAGGAAAGGCCTTGGAGACCATAAAAAGGGAATAAAATGGAAAAAAAAAGTCACTGCTCCCCCCCTGCCCTGAAGATCCCAAAGATCTGAATCCAAGTCTCAGTTTCCACAGGATTTATCCATCAAAACTCAGCGTGGTGCATGAATCCTCATCACTGACCGTGGATTCAGCAGAAATCCCATTTTTTTGGGGGGATTTTGGGAATTCTTTTTCCCAGTTTTCTCCCCCCATCTCTCACCTCTTTGTCAAAGTTTGCTTTGGTGAATTCCAAAGAATTCAGGAGTGCGTTGGTAGCTGCAAGCTTCACATTGTTGCTGGGCTCCTCCTTTCTCATTCCCTGGATTATGGCAGTCAGGATTTCATTGGATTTGTCCTGGAGCTGCTCTGGATCCTGGGGGAAAAATATATATATATATTAAAAAAAAAAAATTGATAAAGTTATTTATGATTTCAACAGATTTTTCCATGTTTTCAAGCAGCAGAAGTTACAGATAAAAGGGATTTATTTTTTTTTTTTTTGGTTAGAATCTAGAAATAAAAGTTTTAGGATAGGCCAGGAAAGTTTTAGGATAAAGCAGGAAATCATGGGAAATCCAAGGAATTCCTGCAGCTCCTGGGATGGGAAGGAGAAGCCTGAACTGAGCACAAATCCCCCAGAAATCCAAGTGAAAAACGCCAAATAAATCCCACTGGATCAAACATGAACCAACAAATGCCAGGATGTGAATTCATTCATAAAAAGTTTAAAAAAAAAAATGCTGATTTCCAAATAATTTATGGATTGGGCAGAGAATGTGAAATATTCCCTCACAGAGCAAAATATTCCCACGAAAAGTAAAACATTTTAATCACAAAGTGAAATATTCCCTCAAGAAGTGAAACAATCCCATAAAAGTGAAATATTTTACTCAAAAAGTGAAATATTCCCTCAAAAAGTGAAACATTTTACTCAAAAAGTGAAATATTCCCACAGAAAGTGAAATATTCCCACAAAAAGTGAAATATTCCCACAAAAAGTGAAATATTCCCACAAAAAGTGAAACATTTTACTTAAAAAGTGGAATGTTTTACTCAGAAAGTGAAATATTCCAACAAAAAGTGAAATATTCCCTCAAAAAGTGAAACATTCCCATAAAAAGTGAAATATTTTACTCAAAAAGTGAAACATTCTAATCAAAAAGTGAACTATTCCCTCAAAAAGTGAAATATTCGCTCAAAAAGTGAAACATTTTAATCAAGAAGTGAAATATTCCCACAAAAAGTGAAACATTCCCATAAAAAAGTGAAATATTTTACTCAAAAAGTGAAATATTCCCTCAAAAAGTGAAATATTCCCTCAAAAAGTGAAATATTCCCACAAAAAGTGAAATATTCCCACAAAAAGTGAAACATTCCTACAAAAAGTGAAATATTTTACTCAAAAAGTGAAATATTCCCACAAAAAGTGAAATATTCCCTCAAAAAGTGAAACATTCGCATAAAAAGTGAAATATTTTACTCAAAAAGTGAAATGTTTTACTCAAAAAGTGAAATATTCCCTCAAAAAGTGAAATATTCCCTCAAAAAGTGAAACATTCCCATAAAAAGTGAAATATTTTACTCAAAAAGTGAAATATTCCCACAAAAAGTGAAATATTCCCTCAAAAAGTGAAACATTCCCTTAAAAAGTGAAATATTTTACTCAAAAAGTGAAATATTCCCTCAAAAAGTGAAATATCCCCTCAAAAAGTGAAATATTCCCACAAAAAGTGAAATATTCCCTCAAAAAGTGAAACATTCCCATAAAAAGTGAAATATTTTACTCAAAAAGTGAAATGTTTCCCTCAAAAAGTGAAATATTCCCTCAAAAAGTGAAATATTTTACTCAAAAAGTGAAATATTCCCTCAAAAAGTGAAATATTCCCTCAAAAAGCGAAATATTCCCGCATCCCAAATTCCCGATCCAGGCACGGAAGGGCTCCCCTGGCCAGGAAGGGACCCCAGGCTGATTCCAGCTTTATCTGGGATGTGGAATCTGAGCTGAGCTTTTCCTTTTCCTCCAAATTCCCTTTGGAATGGTGACCTGGATTTGTGGTGGGAAAGGAGGTCAGGACTTCCAGGAACCGGCCTGGAGCTGCCTGCAGGATGGAAAAGCGGGAAGAACCGGGAGGGATCCAACAGGAGTGAGGTCAGGAATCCCCTCCAGAAATCCTGGAAATCAGGGAATCCCCTCCAGAAATCCTGGAAATCAGGGAATTCCATCCAGAAATCCTGGAAATCAGGGAATTCCATCCAGAAATCCTGGAAATAGGGGAATTCCATCCAGAAATCCTGGAAATCAGGGAATTCCCTCCAGAAATCCTGGAAATCGGGGAATTCCCTCCAGAAATCCTGGAAATCGGGGAATCCCCTCCAGAAATCCTGGAAATCAGGGAATTCCATCCAGAAATCCTGGAAATCAGGGAATTCCATCCAGAAATCCTGGAAATCAGGGAATTCCATCCAGAAATCCTGGAAATAGGGGAATTCCATCCAGAAATCCTGGAAATCGGGGAATTCCCTCCAGAAATCCTGGAAATTGGGGAATCCCCTCCAGAAATCCTGGAAATAAGGGAATTCCCTCCAGAAATCCTGGAAATTGGGGAATCCCCTCCAGAAATCCTGGAAATCGGGGAATCCCCTCCAGAAATCCTGGAAATCAGGGAATCCCCTCCAGGAGCACAGAAATCCTGGAAATCAGAGATTCCTTAAGATCAGGAAAGCCCTCCACGATCATAAAAGACTCCTGGAAATCTGGGAATCCTCTCCAGGATCATAAAAGTCTCCTGAAAATCAGGAATTCCGTAAGGTCAGGAATCCCCTCCAGGAGCACAGAAATCCTGGAAATCGGGGAATCCCCTCCAGAAATCCTGCAAATCGGGGAATCCCCTCCAGAAATCCTGCAAATCGGGGAATCCCCTCCAGGATAATAAAAGACTCCTGGAAATCTGGGAATCCTCTCCAGGATCATAAAAGTCTCCTGAAAATCAGGAATTCCTTAAGGTCAGGAATCCCCTCCAGGATCAAAAAGTCTCCTGGAAATCAGGGAATCCCCTCCAGGATAATAAAAGACTCCTGGAAATCAGGAATTAAGGCCAGGAAAGCCCTCCAGGATCATTAAAGTCTCCTGGAAATGAGGGAATCTCCTCCAGGAACATAAAAGCCTCATGGAAATCAGGGAATTCCCTCCAGGATCATAAAAGCCTCAGTGAAATCAGGGAATCCTCAAGGTCAGGAAAACCCTCCAGGATCATCAAAGTTTCCAGGGAATCCTTCAGGTCAGGAAAAGCCTTCCAGGATTGTAGAAGTCTCTCAGAAATCAAGACATTCCCTCCAGGATCGTAAAAAACTATTTCCTTGTGGAAATCAGGGAAAAACCCCAAATCCAACCCAAAATCCAGCCTCAAAATCCAACCCCAAAAAACTCAACACAAAGAATCCAAGATAAAAATCCAACCCTGAAGATGCAACCCCAAAAATCCAACCAAAACCCCAACCCAATAAACCCAACCCCAAAAAATTCAACTTAAAAACCCCAATCCAAAATCCAACCCAAAGAACTCAACTCAAAGCCCAACTCAACAAGCCAAATCCAACCCTAAACCAAACAAATCCAAAAAAACTCCAACCTACAACCCCCAACCCAAAATCCAACCCAAAATCCAACCAACAGACCCAAAATCCAATACCAAAAAGCCCAGCTGGAAGTACTCAACTCTAAACCCAACCCAACAAATCCAAAAATTTCAACCCAAAAACATCAAAAGAACCCCAAAAGAACCCAAAGAATCCAAGTCAAAACCCAACCCTAAAAACCCAACAAACCCAAAATTGAACCAGAAGTCCAACCCAAAGAACTCAACCCTAACCCCAACCCAACAAATCCAAAAGATTTCGACCCTAAAAAGGACCCAAAGAATCCAAGCCAAAACCCAACCCTAAAAACCCAAATCTAAAAATCTTTAACCCAAAAACCTCAAAAGAACCCAAAAAGGACCCAAAAAACCCAAACCCAACCCAACAAACCCAAAATTGAACCAGAAGTCCAACCCAAAGAACTCAACCCTAAACCCAACCCAACAAATCCAAAAAACTTCAACCCAAAAACCTCAAAAGAACCCAAAAAGGACCCCAAGAACCCAAACCCAACCCAACAAACCCAAAATCGAACCAAAAGTCCAACCCAAAGAACTCAACCCTAAACCCAACCCAACAAATCCAGATGATTTCAACCCTAAAAAGGACCCAAAGAATCCAAGCCAAAACCCAACCCAACTAACCCAAAATTGAACCAGAAGTCCAACCCAAAGACCACAACCCTAAACCCAACCCAACAAATCCAAAAAACTTCAACCCAGAAACCTGAAAAGAACCCAAAAAGGACCCAAAGAACCCAAACCCAACCCTCCCCTCCCCGGCACAGCCCCCAGCCCATCCCAAGCCCTTCCACGCGTCCGGGAACCCCGGGAACCCTCCCCGAGCGGCCCCGGAGCCCGAAGCCGAAGCACTCACGATGTCCTGGCAGATGTAACCGATGGCCTCGAGCGTGGACTCCTTCATGTGCTCGGTGCTGTGCTGGTTGGTGACGTTGGCCACCAGCTGCGGGATCAGCTCCGGCCACTGGTTCATGGGGATCTCGGCGCAGGCGATGCCGGCCACGCACTGCGACGCCGAGCTGGGCCGGTACGTCTCCGTGCCCAGGGTCTGCAGCACCTGTGGTTCCACCAGGGAATGGGGTCAGGGAGTGCACAAACGCCCCTCAAACCCAAAATCCCTCATTTCTTCCCTGAAATCGTTTGGTTTGTTCTGGAGAAATGGTGGTGGGGATGGGCGGAGTCTGGCTCGGTTGAAATTGAATCTAAAGTCTGACTCAAAGGATTCAACCCTAAACCAAACAAATCCAGAAAATCTTCAACCCAAAGAATCCAAACCAAAACCCAACAAACCCAAAACTGAACAGAAATTCCAACTCCAAGAACTCAACCCTAAACCAAACAAATCCAAAAAACTTCAACCCAAAATCCTCAACCCAAAGAATCCAAACCAAAACCCAACAAACACAAAACTGAACCGAAATTCCAACTCAAAGAACTTGGCTCTAAACCAAGTCCAAAAAACTTCAACCCAAAATCCTCAAGCCAAAGAATCCAGGCCAAAACCAAACAAACCCAAAATTGAACCAAAATTCCAACTCAAAAAACTCGACTCTAAACCAAACAAATCCAAAAATTTCAACCCAAAAAATCCAAGCCAAAACCCAACCCCAAAAACCAAAAAAATCCAAAATTTAACCAAAATTCCAACTCCAAAAACTCAACCCTAAACCAAATAAATCCAAAAAACTTCAATCCAAAATCCTCAACCCAAAGAATCCAAACCAAAACCCAGCCCTAAAAACCTGAAATCGCTCGGTTTGTTCTGGAAAAACAGTGGTGGGGTAAAGGGAAATGGCGAAAATTGAATAAATTTGGCTTAAATCCATCCCAAAAGGTGAATTTTTTACGCCAAAATCGTCTGGGTAATTTTGTTGTGCGTTGGGGATGGATCAGGAGGAATTTTGCTGGTGGGTTTTGGGAATTTTTCCTTAAAAAACAGAGGGAGGTGCGACGCCTTTTTCAGCTTTTCCTGTTATACACCAATAAAATTTTCTTTTAAAAATAGAGGGATTTGCATTTTTCCATCATTTCTAGTTATGCACCAATAACTTTTTCTAAAAAATGGAGGTGCAGGGGATGATTTTTTTTTCAGCATTCCCACTTATACACCAATAATTTCTTTTAAAAAAATAAAGTGAGATTTTTTTTTTTTGATCATTTCCACTTGAACATAAATATTTTCTGTAAAAAATACAGCCAGGGATTCGCATTTTTCCAGAATTTTTGGTTCAACAATAAAACTTTCTTTAAAAAAGAAAGATTTTTCATTTTTGCAGCGTTTCCAGTTACACACCTTCATTTTTCACTTTTCCACCTAAATGTTGTATTTTTGATGTTGAAAACAGCAACAAATTGTTCAATTTCAGTGCAAAAGGACAACTCCTGATCCTGGGTCCCTGGAATGTCCAAGTCCTGCTTGGATTGAGCTTGGAGCACGCAGAAAAGGTGGGAAAAGATGGAATTTAAGGTTCTCCCAACCCAAATCATTCTGGGATTATAGAGAGAGATTCTATTAACACACAAGAAATAAATATAAAGCTCTCAGCCCGGCTGAATCGGTCACTGAATCGCTGCACAAATCCCAGCACCATTTTTTGCTCCCATCAGCCAAAAAACAACAACAAAAAAAGCAACAAAAAAACCACTGAGCCACCACTTCTGTCCCTGCAGGCTCTGAATTCCAACAGGCACAGGGCAAAAAGAGTTAAAAACACCAATTTTTCCCAAGTTTTCTATCTGGAACTTGCAATTTTTACCCCCTCATTTTCCACTCTTAAAATTTCCTGGGTCTCGTGTGAACGTTGTTCAGACTCAGAGCGTCTCAAAGGTGTTGATGAGGGTTGGAGAGCACTTGGGGAAGCTCTTCTGAAGAAAGGGAAGAGAAATCTTCCTTAAAAAGCATTTCCTGCAGAAAAATCAATGCCCAGCCCAGCTGCAGGGGAAGCCAAGGAATCCTGGAGTGGTTTGGGTGGGAAGAGATCCTAAATCCCATCCAGTGCCACGGGCAGGAACATTTCCCACCATCCCAGGCTGCTTCAAACCCCGTCCAGCCTGGCCTTGGACACTTCCAGGGATCCTGGGACTTCCCTGGGAAATCCCTGCAGCGTTTTTACAGCCTCCTGCTAAAAACTTCTTCCTTTTAGCTCATCTAAATCAATTCTCTTCCGCTTTGAAACCATCCTCCCCTGTCCTGCCGCAGCCTTCCGGCAATCCCGGAATATCCTGAGCTGGAAGGGACCCTCAGGGATCATCCGGCCCTGCAGGACACCCCAAAACCCCACCCTGGCCATCCCTGGACAAACATTCCTTCAGCTTTGGAAAGCTTGGGATCACCACCGTTCCATGGAGAGCTCCACCACCCTCTGAGGAAAAACCCCAAAATCCAACTCAAAATCCAACCCAACCCATAATATCAACAAACCCAACCCAAAACTCCTGGACTTCCAAGAGTTTTGGGATCACCACCATTCCATGGGGAATCAGCTCCAGTGCCCGATCACCCTCTGGGGAAAAAACCCAAAATCAACCCAAAATCCACCCAAAATCCACCCAAAATCCCCATCCCAAAACTCCTGGAGCTCTGAGAGCTCTGGGACCACGAGTCCTCCACAGGGAGCTGCTCCAGCGCCCAAAAACCCAACCCAACAAATCCAACCCAAAACTCCCGCGGCTCCGGCAGCTTTGGGATCGCCACCATCCCACAGGGAGCTGTCCCAGCACTCAACCAACCCCTGGGGGAAGATCTTTGTCCCAGTTGCACCTCAAAACCCCTCCAGATGGAACCAACTCCCAGAACCGAGCACCCAGAGCCCGGGAGCAGCTACGGGAAAACTTTTTAGGTGGAAAACCACGGACGACGTTCTTCAGCGACCCCTCCCGAGGCAGAAACGAGGGGAAAACGAGGCAAAACCCACAAAAACCCCGCGGACTTACGAAGTTCTTGACCTCCCTGCGGGCGTTGGCGTCGATGGCGAGCCATCTCTGCTGGTACTGGGCCTTGATGTCGGGATCCTTGGAGGTCAGCGAGTTCTTGATCTGCAGCCCGGCGGCCACGCGCGCGACCTGGCTGTTGCCGGGGTTTGCCAGCACTTTGGACAGTTCCACCAGGAAGGTCGGCTGGGGAGACAGCGGGGTCAGCCCCCAGGCACCCCACAAACCTCCCCCAGCCCCCCTAAAGCCACCCCCAGCCCGGATCTATCCCCAGATTACGGGTTAAGCTCCTCACGGGAAGTGCCGGAAGCTCCGGTGGCTCTGCCGGGCTGGGATTTTTTTAGAGCTGACACCGGAGCCCAGTTCCTGCTCCTGCCTGGCCTGAGAATTCCTTTAAATAAATGGATTTATGGGGGGAAAAAAAAATAAAGAAATGGATTTTCTGGGTGGGAATTCAGCCTGGACGTGAGGAACTCCCTGTTTGTTGTTTTGGTGATTCCACAGCTGAATTGGGATTGGTAAAACGTGGAATCTCTGATCTGTGACATTCCGAACTCTCTGCTGATCAAAATGATGATTAAACCCCCCAAAATGATAATTAAACCCCCAAAATGATAATTAACCCCCCCCAAAATGATAATTAACCCCCCAAAATTATGATTAACTCCCCCCAAAAAACCACCTGAGTGCACACGCAACCCCCTGATGTTGCTGCCACTTCCTTGTGAAAACCTTTTGTTTTTAAATCTTTTCTTCTTTGAAATCTTTTCTTAATTTCTTTACATTTCAGAGGTTCCCCTGAAGTCTCAGCAGAGAGGTTTTATTTTTTTCCTGAATATTTTTCCTCAAAAGCTTTTTGCCTTCCCAGGGAGCAGTGGGAGCAGATGCCTCGCTTTCCAAACCTTTTTACACCAACTAGAAACGTGATTTTCCAAAAAATCTTCAACCTTTTTACAATAAACCCATTTCGAGATTCTCTTAAGAAATCTCAAAATACATTTAAAAAAAACCAACAAACTTAATCTTAAATAACAAAGATTTTTTTTTGAGCACTGAACATCCATTTTTAAAACTAACCAAACATTAAAAAGTTCAACAATCAACTCCAGTGCTTTGGTCTCCATGTTTTCAATGCCCAAATCTAACTCTTGAGATAAAATTCATTTTAGTTTTTCCATCCCCAGTTCTTCAAGGTTTAAACTGCAGAATTTGAGGTCAAAAGATGGGGGAAAAGCTGAAGGGATGGGTGTAAGGCATTAAAAATATTCTAAATGTAATGGAATAGAATAAACCCTACAAACAGACTCCACTAAACCACTTCAAACCAAATTTTAAACTCTGATTTTACTACGAGTGAGGAACAGAATTAGTTCACAGGACATCCCAGAAGTGTTGCTGCCACCTTGGACAAGAAAGTTCACAGGTGGAGGAGCATCCTTGGGCTCCTCACCCATAAATTAACAGGAAAAATTCTCTTTTCTTGAGGTTTTTGGGCTAAATTCAGTTAAAATAAAATGAGCAGCATCACTTGAAACCTCGCAGGCTTGAGAAAGCAAAGGCAGATGTGCCTGACCTGGCTCCCACCTGCAGAGGTGTCAGTGCACACCTCAGGTAAAAAGAGATAAATCAGGCTAAAGGGGGTAAATTAGCTAAAAGGGGCAAATTGAGGGGTGGAGAGGAGGAGGAAGGGGGATGAGGAAGATCAGGAGGCTCCATCAGGGAACTGGGAGATGCTCCCAGCCCCCCTGGGGCTCTCCTGTCCCTTCCCTCTCCTGTCAAAGGCTCTTCCCACATCCTGTGGTGGGGACAGGCCTGAATTCCACATCCTCATCCTCCTGCTTCATCCTCCTCGTCCTCCTGCTTCATCATCCTCACCCTCACCCTCACGGACTCAGCTCCCTCCCAGCCTGGACCATTCCATGTCCCCATCCCACACAAATCCTTGGTGCCAGCCCAAGCTCTGATCTCATCCAGTCCTGCCTCTCACAAAGCAAAGTAAAAACGAAAGCTTGGAGTAAATCCCACAAGGCAGAGAGGAAAAACGAAACCTTGGAAAATCCACATCTCCCCCAGCTCTTCCCAACACCTGGAAATCAGGACCATGAGCAGCTCCTGCCCATCACCCCAAAATCCTTCATGCCACACAGCCCTGGAGCTCCAGGCTCAACTGGGGGGTCCTGACACTCCACCAGCACCAATCCAGGGGATTTTCCCTCAAAACTGAGGTGCAGCACAAAGGCTGCATCAATCCTGCTTTGGAGGGGGCCTCACACTCCTTCCAACAGCACCAGAATCCCAGAACCTCTGTGCCTTTCCCACTTCACACCAGGCCAGGGGAGGGAATGGCTGCTGGGGTGACGGGTGACAGTTCTGGGGGTGATAACGGGGGTGTGACGAGGACAGCACCGAGACACCGGGACCCAGCACCCCCCAGTGCTCCCCATCCCTGCAAGGACCAGCCAGAGCTGCAGCCCCACACCTTGACTAAGCAAAAACCCTTCCCAACCACCACCAGCCTCAAACCCCCCGCTCCAGCACAGCCGTTACACCCGGCAGTTTGGGGGTTTTTTAATCCCTTTCTTTTCTTTTTTTCAGATTTCTTTCCCTCCTCAAATTTAAGGTCACCGGGGGTGCAACTGCCCCTGCCCAGCCGAGCCTCCCTCCCCCACCAGCCGCCCCTGAGCTCCTCCCCAGAGTCCCGGAGCTCCGATCCCGCCCGGGCGGGCTCTCGGGGGGATGCGGCGGTCCCCGTGGCCCGAGCAAAAGGACCGGACAGGGGTCCCGAGGGCACCAGAACTGGGCAGCAGGGCTGGGCGGAGGTCCCACGGGCAGTAGGACCGGACACTAGAACCGGGCAGCAGGACTGGGCAGGGATCCCGCGGACAGCAGGGCTGCGAGAGGATCCCGTAGGACCGGACGCTAGAACCGGCCGGGGGTCCCGCGGCTACTAGGAGCGGGCGGAAGGACTGGGCGGGGGTGCGGCGGGCACTAGGACGGAACAGGGGTCCCGCGGGCGCTGGAAGCGGCCGGTGGGGCCGCTCGGGGTCCCCGCGGGCGGCCGGGCTTTAGGACCGGGCGGCGCCCGGGGCCGCGATGGCCGCGGTGGCCGCACATGGCCCGCGGCCGCTCCCGCACCGGCCCCGCCCCCCGGCCCGGCGCCGCGCGCTGATTGGCTGCCGGGACCGCAGGGCGCGCTCTGATTGGCCCGCCCGGCCGCCGGGCGCGGGCAGGGGCGGCAGCGGCCATGGCGGCCGGGCCGGGCCGGGCCGAGCCGGGCGGGGCGGGGGGGCCGCGGAGCGCTCGGGGCAGCGCCGGCCCCGCCACCGCCGCCGGCCCCGCCACCCTCGGGGCCGCCCCGAGCGCTCACCAGGTTCTCGATGGCCGCCTGCTCCAGGAACTTCTGCGCCGCCTCGAGCTCCGAGCAGTCTGCGGAGGGGAAACCGGCGTCAGCCGCGGCCCAACCGCCGGGGCCCTCAGGCTCCGAGCGCGCTCCTCACCGTGCCCGGGAGGCTCCCCGCCGCCTCGGTTCCCGCCCGCCCCACGGCCTCCCCCGCCGCCCACGCCCTCCCCGGGGCTGCGGGAGCCGCCTCGGCCGCCCCGCGGGTTGCGCGGCCCCCGCCCCGCCCGGCCCCGCCGGGC